CTATCTCAGCTCACTGCAACATCCGCCTCCCGGGTTCAAGCAATTTTCCCTGCCTTAGCCCCTGACTAGCTGGGATTACGGGCAGCCGCCACCACACCTGGCTAATTTTTGTATTTTGTAGTAACGATGGGGTTTTGCCATGTTGGCCAGGCCGATCTTGAACTCCTGACCTCAGGTGATCTGCCTGTCTTGGCCTTCCAAAGTGCTGGGATTACAGGTGTGAGCCACCGTGACCAACCCACAAGTACTTTTCCTTGAGAAAACCATCTATCTTTAGCATGCAACAGATATGCTTTACGCATACTGCCCATTTCATCACACAGACTTTTTTCTTTTTCTTTTTAGATGGGGTCTCACTCTGTTGCCCAGGCTGGAGTGCAGTGGCACAATAATAGCTGACTACAGCCTCAAACTCCTGGGCTCAAGCAATGCTCCCACCACCTTAGCCTCTTGAGTGGCTAGGACTTACAGATTCAGACCACCAACCCTGGCTAATTTTTTTTTTTTTTTTAAAGAGATGGGAGCCAGGTGCAGTGGCTCATACCTGTAGTCCCAGCACTTTGGGAGGCCGAGGCAGGTGGATCACAAGACGCCAGGAGTTCGACACCAACCTGGCCAACATGGTAAAATCCCATCTCTACTAAAAATACAAAAATTAGCCAGGCGTGGTGGTGCACACCTGTAGTCTCAGCTACTCAGAATGATGAGGCACAAGAATCACTTGAACCCGGAAGGCAGAGGCTGCACTGAGTTGAGATCACACCACTGCACTCCAGCCTGGGTGACATAGCGAGACCCTGTCCCCCCTCAAAAGAAAGAAAGAAAGGCTGGGCAAGGTGGCTCACGCCTGTAGTCCCAGCACTTTGGGAGGCCAAGACAGGAGGATCACATGAGGTCAGGGGTTCAAGATCAACCTGGGCAACATGGAAAAACCCCATCTCAACTAAAACTACAAAAAAATTAGCCAGGCATGGTGGCATATTCCTGTAATCTCAGCTACTCAGGAGGCGGAGGCAAGAGAATTACTTGAACCCGGGAGGCAGAGGTTGCAGGTTGCAGTGAACCAAGATTGTGCCATTGCACAATCACACCACTGCATTCCAGCCTGGACAAGAGCAAAACTCTGTCTCAAAA